ACGATATTTTACTCACCCATCAAAAGAAAATTACTCACGCCAGGCGCGTGGGCGAGCAGAATTCTGCAGGGCTGTTTTAGGCCCCGACTGCGCTACAAAAATACCCGTTTTGAGCACGGTTGTGAAACACACGATTGTGGCTCAACTGGAGCACGGCTGGGGGGGGGGCTGGGGGGAGAGGCAGGCTCTGGACAGAACAGGTGGAAAGATTAATAGTTAAGGAATAGCCGAGGCTCTTCCTGGCTGCTCCACCCGGTTTCGCCGGGATAAAAGCTCTGGGATGCGCGGAGCTCCCCGCACGGGCGCTGCGGGAGCAGGGAGGTGTTTGGGAGCCGTGCACGCCTCGCTCACTGCTTTGGTATCCACTTGCTTCATCCGGGCTAATTTTATCCCGTGCCCATCCCCAGATCCCGGTATCAGTGAAACCTTGGAGGGAAGGAGGGGGGAGCTCCGGAGAAACATCAGTGTTGGTTGGGTGGGAAGGAACCAGCGCCTTGGGGCTGTGTCTGCATCGCACCTGCCCGACGTGGTCACGGTTCCAGAGCACGGAAAACACAGGGAAGAACCAACAAACCTACTTTTAGGCGACGCCCCAGCTCCGCCGCCGCCTCCTTTTCCCTTTGCCACACAGAGGCAGGCGGCTCCTCCTCGCCTCCATCCCTAAATATCCCAGGAAACACTCACTCTCGCCCCGGGTCGGGTCTGGGGAGTTCAGCGTTGCGTGACCACCCGTTCCCACCCTGCCTCCCCAGCTCCCCAGTCCACCCGGAGAGCTGCCTGCCAGGAGGCATATGGTCCCCACAGCCCTGCCCCGAGCCCCACGAGCGCACGTGCTTCACACTCCTCGCTCCCCAGCAACGTTTGCTTCCCAGATTTTCTGCTCCCAGTAAATACCAGCTGTTGCAGCGGTGCCGGGAGCTCGAGCTGGCACGCTGCTGAAAGCCCCTCTTTCTCCCCCCATCCTCTGTGAGATCACCTGGGGGAGTGGGAAACCAGAGCAGGGGATATTTGGGAGCCTGGTTACAGGTTGAAACCACGCTTGGTTTTACGTGGTTTCACGAAGCTTAAAAAAAAACCCTTCACACAGTTAAAACTGAGGCACTCGGGGCAATAAGGGGGATGATACAGTAGAAAACAACACCCTTTATTTTTGTAGGAGTGATGGTCAAGGTAATCACTGGAGTGTCTTCCTCCCTCTCCTCCAAAATGCACGGGAGGAAGAGGGAGATGAAGATGCTTCAGGAGATCCCCATCCTAAAGCCGAAAGGAAGCCACGGAGCTCCGCTGGGATTTGGAAAACCTCTCGTCTGTCCATGCAAGGCTGTTTCCCAAAACAAGCCTACTCCTGCTCTAAATAAAGCTTAGCCTAGAAAGACAGCACTGCCTTGTTGCCTGGGCACAGGAGTTGGGAATCTGGGGGTTTGATCCAGCCTCTGTCACCAGCGGCTCACTCCGAGCACTTTTCCTGGGTCACTCCCGTGTTCCTGGGAGTGCTCCTGGCAGTGTTCCCTGTATTCCCAGTCCTGATGAAGCACAGAGAGCTCACAAGGAGCGAGGAAAGGCACGGGATTAACCTCACATGACGCGACAAGGCATCCACCCGCCAACAGCCCGTAAATGTCTAGGGATCTCCTTCACAAAAAAACTTAAGGACACCAGTGCCCAGGAGCCAAACTGGAGGCAGAGTTACATGCAGGACGGTGCTGAGGATGAAGCTCCATCCTCTTCCTCGGCTGCAGCAGCCAATTCCTGGAGAAAGGGGGTTTAATCCAAGCTGCCCTGGGCCTGGTGGTGCCCGACGCCGGGGAGACGCACGTGCCAGCTGAGCTAACGCTGCCTCCCAAATCATCCCGGGCTGGAACAAGCTCCCCCGCTCCGCAGGGACCTCCCTGTGACATTTCAGGAGCAGGGGGCACGACCCTGGCATGTGTCAGCACCGCCAGCATGAGCGTAACCCCCCCCGTACGGACGTCACGCCGTGCCCTGAACTCCGGCTCCCCCGTGAATGCCCCGATTCATCCCGGCAGGGCAGCTCCAGGAATCACCAGCGGGGAGGGTGGACGCTCCAGAGGCTGCACTGAGGGTGATTGTGTGGCTGACACAGCCCCGGGACCCTGCAGCGTGCGAGCCTCTCGTGCGTCAGCGGAGCCGCCGCGCTCCGGGCGCTGACGCGGCCGGAGAAGAAAGAGCAGGCTCAGAATTCCCGGAGTCCCCAGTTCCCCCCTCGACCGGCAGCGACCTCAGTTTCCTCCCCAGAACAAGGCAAAAAACACCCCATCTCCCAGCAGAAGCCACGTGTGTCGTGGTGACATGTGGCAGTCCCCAGGCGAGGTCCCCGGGAGCGGCCGGACATTGGGAAGCGTCCGGCACTGTTCCCAAAATGATTCCACATCCCACACCTGAAGGAATTATTTATCCCTCACATTTTTGGGCTCTACAGCCCCTCCTGGACCAGGAGGGCGCAGCAGGTCTCTCTCTCTTCCAGAAATGTGTCCATTCCCACACGTCTCCCGAGGGCAGGCTGGGAAAAGGCGGCTCCGAGACCCCCCCGTAGCCAACACTGTTGCTGTTCTGGGATGAGCAGAGCACAACAAAAGCGATCCCAGGACATAAATCCTGAATTTCCAACCACTTTTAGCAGTCACTGTGAGCACATCACTGTGTTACCCCAGCAGGTTCCCAAACCACAACTTCCAACCCGAAAACTCGACCTTCCAAGGCCTTCCTTTAAACTTAATCCGTCCCATCCCAGGGCACGTGGGGAAATGGTTTTCCCTCTTTTTTTGGAGGGAAAAAAGCTTTGCTTTGCCGGTGTTGAGGGCGGGTTTGCAGCGGGTCAGGGCACTGGGGACCTTTGGGGACTTCCAGCCAGATCCAGAGGCCCCTGGAGACAGTCCAGGAACCGGGACAAGCCTGGCCAGCACTGGGACCCCACCGGTCCTCATTCCAGCTATTCCTGGTGTTATTCCTGGTGCAATTCCCAGTGTTATTCCCAGTGTTCCCGGTCCCCTGTCCCAGTTATTTCCTGTGTTTTTTTTTCCTGCTGTTATTTCCGGGTGTTCCCGGGAGGTCCCTGTCCCGGTATGCCCAGTGATATTCCCGCTGTTACTCCCGGTGCCATTCCCGGTTATTCCCGATGTTATTCCCGGGGGTCCCTGTCCCGGTTACCCCCGGGGTTCCCTGTCCCGGTTATTCCCGGTGTTATTCCCGGTGTTATTCCCGGTTGTTCCCCCCGCACTCACCAGCTCATGTTCCCCCGCCGTTCCCGGAAGCGCCGCCACCTTCGGCCCCGCCCCTTCCGGGAGCGCCGCGAGCCTCTGAACCCGCCGCGCGCCGCCGTGACGTCACGGGGCCGGAGGCGTGGCGTCACCGCTACCGCGCGCGTGACGTCACTTGTGTGGGTGACGTGACCCCAGGGATTGTCTGGGATCATCCCGGGGCTGGGAGAGGAAAAGGGGCGGCCTGGGATCATCCCAGGGGTGGGCAACGGGACAGGGATTGTCCGGGATCATCCCTGGGTTAGGAGAGGGTGTGGGGGGCATCCAGGATGCCCACAAAACCCCAAAAAAGTGAGTAAGGGCATGAGCATGGGATGCCCGGGATCACCATGGGGTGGGCAAGGTGGAAGGGATTGCCTGGGAGCATCCCCGGGGTGGACAGTGGAATTTGGGAGCGGATGCCTGGGACCATCCTTTGGTGGGCAAGCGGGAGGAATTGCCTGGGATCGCCCCTGAGGTGGGCAAGGGCACGAAAAGGGGGTGCCCAGGAGCATCCCTGGGGTGGCTGAGGGCACAGGGGCAAGCGGGGCTGTCCCAGCCCAGGAAATCCCAAGGGAGAGCAGCAGAAAGGTGCGTCAGACTTGGGGGAACAAACACCCAATTTCGTGGGGAAACCCCTCCAGCCCCACCCTGGGGAGGCTGGACAGGGGCAGGGGGGGCAGCAAAGCCTTTTGGGAGACCAAAAAACCACCCTGTGACCCCCAGGGTGAGGCAAAGCCCCCCCACCCCGAGATCTGGGTGCCCTGGGACCCCCCCCAGGGGTGACATCCCGGTGTTGGGAAGGGGCTCGGTGACACCAGGCCGGTGCCAGCACATGCCAGCACACGGGGAGGAGGCCTGGGGTGGGTGCCAGGGGTGGCTTTATCAATTAGCAGGTGGAGGTAAATAAACAGCACAGGTAATTACAGCCAGGGAGGATGATGCTAAACTGGGAAGGTGTCACCGACACCGGTGAGGACAGGGATTAGCCCAAAAGGAGCAGGGAGGGGGAGGACAAGGCTGGGGTGGGGGGGTGTCAATCCCCACCAGTTGTCCCATTCTGGGCCGGGATGGGGGTAATCATCTGGAGGGACTGGTGGAGAGGGGAGGCTGTGGGGGAAAGGGATCACTTTTTGGGGTGCTGGTGGGGTGTCAGGGCACACCCCAAGCCGAAAGGATCCCGGTGCATCCCCCCACGGAGGGAGTTTGGTGCCAGGGAGGTGGTTCCTGCTGCTCCTGGCTGCCACCCCCACTGTGGTGACCCCACCTCGGGGCGCAGGGGACGTGGCAGAGCTGGGGCGAGCGGATCATAGATCTGTCATCCCGATGGGGCTCCGGGAGCGTCTTCCATGGAGGCTCTGCCCGGTGTGTCCCCCCATCCCAGGCACATGCTGAGGGGGACAAGTCTGGCCCCTTCCCCCAGAACACTCTGGCCAGGGGTGGGGAGGAAGGAAAGGGGATCCACATGGCATTGGCACAGGAGGACGAGGATCAAGGTGATCCAGAACCATCCAGACCTTCCATCTCCTGCCAGGCAGCAGAGCTGGAGCTGGGAAGAGCAGGGAAGAATCCCACCAACATCTGCAGCGCCAGCTGCAAAACCAGGAGCTTCTGGGGCGAGGGTCCTCTTCTCTCCCCACCCCGAGGACGGGGTCTCGGCTCTTGGTGCTCCTCCTCAGCGGCAAATCCCATCCCGTGGAGAGCTCTGGGGTTCACCGACGTCCTGCAAAGCCCCGAAGACCCTCAGCAGGGACCCCGGCCGTGCCGTCGAGGAGGGGAGAGGCAGCAAGCTGTGCGGGGCTGGTACGTGACTGGGAGCCCTTCCCTCCTCCCCAGAACACAGATAGCCCAGAACGGGGATGGAAAGTGCCGTGTTTCCGTAGCAACCAACATTTTTCGTGCAAGGTGCCGCACGCGCTCCCCGCGCTCCGCCACCCAAGGGTGCTCCCGGTGCTCCTCGGCCTCCTGCTCCGCGCCGGGAGGCTCCTGCCCCTCGGGGACGGCTGGGCCCGGGGTGGAGGGGGGGCACAGCAGGTGCCCAGGACCTGGTGGGCTCCTTCCCTCCTCCTCTTCCTCGCCCGTGTGGAAGGAGCCGAAAATGTTGGCGCGGCCTCGGGTGGCTCCTCGCTGTGGCGTCTCCCGCCCGCTCCCGGTGTCTCCGGCGTCTTCCAGCACGGTGGAAATGGGCACAACCACCACCACCACCACCTTGGGTGGCACCGGGGGCCACGGTGGCTCTGGTTCCTACCATCCATCTCGGCTCACCTCAGGACACTGTGGGCACCGGCGGCTCCAAAACCGACCCACAGCCCCCCGGGGGCTGCAGGACCTCCCGGAGGGAAGGACAGTCCCAGCTCATCCCATTCCAGCCTCAACCACATGGCAATCCACTCGGAGGCACCGGAGCACCCCCGTGGGCTCCAAAGCCAAGTCCTCAGTGCCAGGAGGTGCCATCCCTGGCCGGGCCGGGTGGGCCCCGAGCCACTGTCAGCCCCTCAAATCCTCCCCAGATTTAAGCCCCTCCAAGCCAAGGGGCTCAGCAATCCCCCGAGTTGGGCTGATCAGGCCCTGGGGTGGTTGGAGCAGCCAGCAGCTCCTCCGGGCCCAACCGCAGATCCGCAGGAAACCACACAACAATTCCAACGCCTCTGTGCCTCGGGAACACCGGGAAAGACCACAGAGCCAACACCAACCACCAGCAAGGCCTCGGCCAAGGGGACACTTGCGGGATGCTCCACCGCGCTCCACCCCAGCAGGGCTGGACCCACACGTGCCGAGGGACCCCCAGACCCTCGGTCTGGGATCCTCCAGCACAGCCTCAGCTCCAGGAGCCCCCAGGTTGGATCCCCCGGGGGGACGGATCCAACCACCACGCACGCCGCCATCCCAAACATCCAAAGCGCCTCCGAGCTCCTTCTCCCACTCGTTCCTCGTGCCAGCGCTGAAACCCGGCGGGTTATTTTTATCCCAAGCCATCCAGCCTGGGAATCAAATCCCCTCCGGGCGCTGCCCCGGGGGCGATTTGGCGGGCGAAGGGCACCGGGGGCATTACCGGCTGAAGCGGCGCGATCCTCTTTGGCCCAACCGTGATCCGACAGCCCCTGGAAGCCGCCAGGAAAAAAAATAACGGTGGCAACGGGGTCAGGGCGGCGGCACGAGCGGGGAAAAACCGGGATGCCAGGCCAAGGGCATGCCAAGGACGCAGATTTTGGGGGAGCGGGGCGGGAAAAGAGCGGGAAGGGGGACACGCCGGTCGCCTTCGGGGTCACCCAGCTGGTCTCGCTGTGCCATCCCTGTGAACAGAACTGAAGGAGGAAGTTGGGGTGGGGGTGTTGGGGGGGGCTGAGAAAAGAAATGGGTTATTGTTTTTTTTTTTTCTTTTTTTTTTTTTTTTTAAATCGTATAAAAATAATATTTAAGGAAATACAACGCTTGGAGGGGAAAGAAAAAAAAAATAATAATAATAATAATTAAAAAAAAAAAGGAAAGTCTGTACAAACACGTTTCAAAGTCGCCCGTGAAGAGACACAGCACCCGCTTCCCTGCACGTTTTACAACCCCCTTACACGTTACTGGTTGGGTTTTGTTGTGTTTTCTTTTTTCCTTTCCAAAGCAGTATAGATCATTTTTAAACAAATAAAGATATTTACTACAGATTTTGATTGTCAGCAAACACAATATATTTACTGCATTAGCATTTGCTCACAGTGCAAATGGTACAACAATACATCAGTTCAATATTTCTGATTTTTTCCCTTAAAAATGCTGTATGCATTAACTATCATATTTGCATTACAACATGACAAATGAGCAAATGAAATGTGTGTGAAAATTGTCACCTTTTCACAATATCAAGCATAATTTTTTTTTTTAACCTTAGTATAAGGTACTATAAATCCAAGAAATAAAAACATCCACAAAATATATTACA